GGGGTGTCGTGGCTACCACGCCGGCAGGTCACTGGGCCTGTTCTGGGCGCTGGCGGCGGCTCTGTTCTGCCCCTACTCCAATTGGGGTGACGAGTGTACCACGCCGGCAGGCCACCGGGCCTTATCCGCCGGTCGGTTGCAGGTTTGCCTACCCTGCAGGCGCGGGCGGCGGCTCTACTCTGCCCCTACTCCAAATGGGGTGACGTGTCTGTCGTACCGGCAGGCCACTGGGCCTGTCCCGCTGGTCGGTCGCAGATCTGCCCACCTTTCGGGCACGGGTGGCGGCTCTGCTCTGCCCCTACTCCAGTTGGGGTGTCGTGACTACCCCGCCTGCAGGTCGCTGGGCCTGTTCCTGGCACGGGTGGCGACTCTGCTCTGCCCCTACTCCAATTAAGGTGGTGTGTGTACCACGCCGGCAGGCTCCTGGGCCTGATCCGCGGGTCTGTCGCAGGTCTGCCTACCTTGGAGGCGCGGGCGGCGGATCTGCCCTGCCCCTCCTACCACGCCTGCGGACCCCTGGGCCTGATCTGCAGGTTGGTCACAGGTCTGCTCACCCTGCGGGCACAGGTGGCGGTTCCGCTCCGCCCCCACTCCAATTGCTGTCACGTGGCCACCACACCGGCAGGGCCTGATCCGGGCGTGGGAGAAGGATCTGCTCTGCCCCTACTCCAGTTGGGGTGATGTGTGTACCACACTGGCAGGCCACTGGGCCTGACCCGCCAGTCTGTGACAGGTCTGTTTACCTTGCAAGCGCGGGCGGCGGCTCTGCCCTGCCCCTCCTACCACGCCCATGTACCACTGGGTCGCGGGTCTGCCCACCTTGCGGGTACGGCTGGTGGCTCCGCTCTGCCCCCTCTCCAATTGGGGTCACGCGGTCACCACGCTGGCGAGCCGGTGGGCCTGCTCCGGGCGCTGGCGGCGGCCCGGCTCCTCCCCTCTGGCTCGACGACAAATTGAGGAGACTCGGGTATCTGTGCCTCACCCCCCCTACCAGGAGACCAACTGTTTCTGTCGCCGCTGGTATTGATGAAGTTCTCTCCTCCGCCGCTTTCTGATGACATCAGATCTCTGCCATGTTGGTATCCTATGCGAATGGCAGCATTTCGTTCCCCTTGCCGGGCAACCAAAGCAACAGGTGAGTCCTGACCGGCCCTCAGCAGGACCCGGACCGAGAAGCAGTTTCCGTGGGCTCCTAGCCCTGGCCCAGGGAGGTTCCGGGAGCCGGAACTCGGCTGCCCCACGCTCGGTGTTCGCTCCGATAAGATCACGTTCTAAGAAGCCCCCAGGCACTGAACCCTAGCAATCTGTCTGTAAGCCGCAGGCGAATGGCAGCCTGAAATTACCTGTTCTATGGCTGAATGAGCTGCGGTCAGTCGAAAGCAGGGATGAAGCAGGGATGGTGACGTCAGCTTTCCAACATGGTGGCTGCTGGCCTCCTCTGTGGTCTGACCGGTGTGGAGAACCGAGATGGACCGCTTCCTTCCCCTGTCTCGAACCCAGAATTCAGCCCTGAGTACGGTGCTTGCGCAGCTGGCAGAAACTGCAGCGCTGTATCCCTGTGGCGCTATCTCCTCGTTTCCCAGCGCGCGCTGCAGACTCTAGCCGCGGGGCGATTTGCTGAATAAGCAGTGTTACCCTCCGTGCGACAAACCTCTCGCTTTTGAGTCCCCGTAGCCGATCCTCGTGCGATGGAAATCCTTCCTCCAGGTTCCGGAGCACCCCACTATTGCTGGAAATTCCTAACAAGATAGCCTTTAGCCGTCCTGACTTGTCATACTCCCACACAGTGACGCAGCACACGGGGGCAATGCACTCCCCTCGCCGCCATCTTCCAAAAAGTCAAGTTATAATTTTTAATAGAACCATGAAGAATATCTGGCCACAGTGTTATGGCTCTTTCTTGGCTTAGCAGTGATTCTCACACTACAGTGCACATCACAAAGACCAGGAGAGTTTGCTAAAATACAGATTTCCAGGCACCACTCAAGGTTAGATTTGGTAGATATTGATCGGGCCCAACAATTTAGGTTTTCCCAACAACTACCTTCTGTTAATTCAGCTGCAGAAAAATCCTCTTTAAGATACATTGGCTCAGGAAAGCAGGGGGCCACTTAATCCAATTTTCCCATTCAACAAATGGGAAGTTTGAGGTTCTGTAAAGAAGAATTACTTGCCAGGGTGTACTAGTTACTTAGTGGCAAATGTGACACTGGCTCCTAGGTTTCCTTCTATCTGACCTCATTACCCCAGAGTTTATGTCCTCTCATAACAGGGAACATAGTAGGCAATGCTATAACCGTGGTAAGACACCCAAAAGAAAGCCTGTGGGCAAGTACTGCAAAGTACTGCAGAATCAAAAATGATGAGAGCATCAAGGCGAAAAAAACCACAAATGGATCTACTTGCACATTTTAAAAGTTAAGATTTCTACAACTACACAGCCATATCAATGTTTATAGCAGCTTAATTCATAATAGCAAAGCTATGGAAACAACCCAGATGCCCATCAACAGATGAACGGATAAAGAAAATATGGTTTATATACATAAAGGAATATTACTTAGCCATAAAGAAGAATGGCTTTATGACATTTGCCAATAAATGGATGGATCTAGAAACTATCGTTCTAAATGAAATAAGCCTATCCCAAAAAACCAAAGGTTGAATGTTCTCTCTGACATGTAGATGCCAACCCACAACAAAGGGAAGAGAGAAGAACAGAAGTTCAGTGGATTAGACAAAGGGAAATGAAGGGAAGGGATGGGAAGACAGGATTAGGAAAGATAGTAGTATGAATCAGACATAATTTTCCTATGTTCACATATGAACACATGACCACTGAAACTCCACATCATGTACAACCACAAGAATGGGATCTGAATTTACAATGTTATACTCCATGTATATGTAATATGCTGAAATACACTCTACTGTCATTTATACCTAAAAAGAACAAAAGAAAAGAATATTAACAAAGAAAAAAAAGAGATCTCTTTTGTTTCAAGCTGAATTTGAAAATAATGTGAATAAACATTGGCCTAAAGACTTCCTCAACACGTTGCATGTCTGAGTGCCCCAATATAAAGCTGAGGCTCAGAATTCCTAAAGAACTTTACCTGAACTATTTTTGGCCACTGGCTCTTGGACACATTGGGAGTGTTGGGGGTGAAGATATAAAACAGAAATTCAACTATAATTGGTGCTCAGAGAATAAATGAACTAATTCAGCCAAACTAAAATGGGCTAAAAATCATTTTAAAAGTCAGTAAACATCAGAATAACCTATTTACTTAATGGATTTCATTTATTTGTTGTTTGTTTCATTCTTCATTAATTCATTCATTTTATTCTTTCATTTCTTTATTTTTACTTATTCAAAATAATCCTTATAAATGTATTCAGAGGAACGCCTCAGAGTGGCCTCCCAGCTCCAAAGAGTAAAAGGCAATTTTCAAAATCTTTTCTCATGAGATCCTGGGAGATGAGCTTCTCCCCACCCTCTGTATTGCTCCTCCCTTCACCTAGTACACCTACCTCAGAAGGGCTTGTGACTCACCAGTCACTTCCTTCAGCCCTTTCCTTTTTAAATGTCACATTCCTGGCCCCAGCTGGCCACTCCACCACAACAGTCCCTGTACCCATTCCCACTTTATTTTTGTTGATAGACATTATGACCTTCTGAAATCCTACATATATCTCTTACTTGTTTATCGTTTATTTTCCCCTCAACCCCAGTAGAATCTAAAGTCTGTAAGAGTCAAGATTTTGCCCATTCTCATCTCTGTGACATCCCAGTGACCACAATAGCCAATATCCACAGAGCAGCTCCATAAAAATACTGTGCAAGGCCATGGGGATGGCACTTTCTCT